TCCTAGGATGCTGCCCAGAATTCCAGCCAGACAGGAGTCTCAGAGGCTAGGGGCTCAATGAGCACCAGACCAGAGTTTTCCCAGGAGCTCAGAGGAGGAGCTGCCAAGAGGTCACATGAAGCCTGCCCTGGAGATGGGGTGTGTCAGAGACAGTGGTTCCTGCACTGAAGATAGGCCGAGAAGCAGTGCTAACAAACAACTTGAGGTTGGGACCTGTATCTCTTTTCCTGGACATCTTTACAGCAGCCCCTGTGCACCTGGCATTGCTTGGGGCAGGGCCAGACAATGAGATTCAGAGTGCCCTGACCCTCTCTGCCTTCAGAGCAAGGGAGTGGAGAGCCAAGTAGATCTATATTCCGGGCCAGGCTAGCAAAAGAGGAGCATCCTGAGCAGCCAAAGCATGATTAATTACCAAATTAATTGCCAAATTAATCTCCCGGGTAATTGCCAGAGAACTGGGCAGAGGGCAGAGGGAAGCTGCTGCCAATCAGGGCAAGGCTCAGCCAGGGGCAGGGCAGGATGTAACCATGGCATAGGTATGGGCATGAGGGAAGAGGCGAGAGACTGGCTGCTGTTGGAGAAGATGGCTTGAGCTCAGCAAGAGGCAGCAGGCTGAGGGCCTCAGAGGCCAGGCTGGGTCTGAGTCCCGTGGAACCCTTGCAAAGCTGCACTGGAGGACAGAATGGCAGTGACAAGTGGGGTGTGGTGGGAGCGCAGCATGAGTAGCTGGGGGCCTGGAAAAGAACAGTCAGGTAGTGCTTATGAACCTGCTTATAAGACCTGGGAGGAGAGAGAGATTGTGGGCTAGGGACTGGGAAGGCAATGGGTGTCCCAGAGACAGAGAAAAAGTTGGGGCAAGGGACTAGCCCCTCTTCTGCAGCCTAGGATCCCCAGGTCTTCTGGACCCTGCATCCCTCTGTGGCTCTTTTAATAAGAGTAGTTAGGGAAGCAGGTGAGTAGTCTGCCAACAGCCAGATTTCAGGAGCTCTGAGGAACCTGAGGGACTACATTCTTCCCAGTGGAAAAATACTTGATGGCCTTGTGATCCAAAGCTGCTGATTAGAGCTAGGTCAGAGGACTCTCTGGCCCCAGAGCTCAGGCTCTGCACCATCTTCTCATCTGGCCCAGCCTTCCCAGGCTGGACTCTTCCTAGGCTAGACCTAGCGCTTGGGCTGTGTCTCCAGAATGCAGCAAATCAGGTCAAGTTTGCTGCAGGGTCCTTTCCCATGGCCCTGTCCCCACTTCCAGGTAAAGCTACATTTTCTGCCGGGCAGAGGACATTTTAGAACTTGAGCCGCTGGGAGGGTTAGTCCAGGGACTGTGCCAGATAGTGCATTCTGGACCTAGGTGGACCTGCATCCCTTGGACCCAAGGGATTCCTAAGGCTGTGCTTGAAGGCAGCTCAGAAGCATTACCCTGTGAAAGCTTAGTTCCCCTTAGGCAGCTCTGGACATTTGGTGTGCTATTTATTTAGTAAATATTTACCTAGTAGTATAAATATGAATGCTTTTAATCCTACCAAGCAAGGAGGACCTGCCCCATTTTATAAATGCGAAAATGAGGCCAAGGTTCAGGGACTGGCCTTGGGTCACATAGAGCTGAGCTGGGGTTCAGAGCAGCTTGTCCATGCAACAAGGGGCATTAAGGAGAGTGTTGCCCTACAGTCTTTGGGCAGGGGTCTCTGGGACTGATGGGACTGATGGGGAGACAGAGGTGATTGCCATTAGCTATGTTTCCTCTGATGTGGCAGAGAGGCCCATCATGGCTCTCCTCAGGGGTGACTGTCGCCGCACTGGTCTGCAAGTGCTGCTATCTGCCCTGTCACACAGGTCAGCCAATGGAGGCAGCAAATGCCCCCATCTCACTTGTTCTTGTGTGGAGACGCAGGAGCCAAAGGCAGGAAAACCCTTGGTGACTCAGGAAATTACCAGAGCTCAGGCCCAAGCAGTACCTTTCTGAGGGACTGAACAGGGACAAAACAGACTCATTGGAGCCTGGTCCAGGAGTCTGACAGAACTGAGTTCAGATCCTGTGTGACCTGGGATTCAAGTCACTCAAATTTTCTGCAAGTTGGCTTCAGGTGGGAGAACGAGAGCACAGAGATGTTTAGGTCTTGCTGTGAGAGGATCTCTGGGGTGGGCACTAAGAAACACTAGGCCCCCAGGGGCCCTGGCAGAGCATGGGCAAGAACCACTTTCCGTAATGCTTTTTTGGGGGGAGTACTGGGGATTGAGCTTGCAAGGCAGGCGGCGGAACAACTGAGTTAAATCCCCGGCCCTCCCTAATACTTTTAACACAGTTACTCATTTAATTCCCATGAGGCAAAAAGCCACGTGTCCAATTCTTCATTCATTAAACAGCCCTGACAACCTACTATGTGCCAGGATCCATTCTGGAGGCATAGGTCACAGGAGTGACCATTTACCGACCCAGCCTGGTTCTGGCCGAGAGGATGCAAACAACTTCAGTGCACCAGTCCCTAGACCTCTGGTGTTCAGAAAAAAGCTTCAAGGCCAAATTTTAGACACGCACTTCTTTAGCCTGCCCCACCCACCCACTCAGTAACCAGGGCCTGCACTGCCACCTTGTGGGCACAGCTCCACCTGGGGAACGTGAGTTGGTACCTCCTGATTCCGACTGAAGAGGTCACACTTGGGGGGTGGAACAGAACTCCCGGGACTCTTGGGAGGAAGTGGACATGGATGTGGTCTCAGTCACTTAGCAGCACCCACTGTCACAGTGACTCTTGCAGAGTAGTGTCCCAAAGAGCCATTTCCTGCCAGCACCTGCATCCACAGCAAGGGAGCCTGGTAAAGGAATCAGAATGGGTGTCACATGTAGTGCCATTCTAGCACATGCGGATGCTCTGCCTTTTCAGGGGTCCTCTCTTGAATTCTCCATGGTTAGTGGCCTGCCTGTGAGGAAGCCCATCATCCTTTATGTACACCCAACCCACGGGAGGCCAGGGCAATGACAGCCTTGCCCTGCCTGCAGCCAGAGGTGGTGGTTCCTCCTCCGAGTACTGCCATCTTACCTGTGTCCCTCCTCACTTCCTGGTTTGAGATGTTATTGTTGCTGACAGAATTACTGACCTGGCACTCCAACAAGGTATACTCTTCCAAGACAAGCCCTAGCTGTGCCTCTCATCACCAGAGCCCAGCAAAGAGGGTCTGGTATGGACAAGTTGAGTATTGTCAAAGATAACAGAGGATAGTGGAAGGAGGAGATGCCCTGTATTCAGAGAATCTTCTTTCCTTCTTTGGGAGTCTTGGAAGTGAGTTCTGAGGTCAAGTTCAAGCCCTACTATGTAATAAGCAACCCTACTGTTCTGTGCCTCAATTTCCCCATCTGTAATATGGGACACAAGGGGTGCTTGCCCTCTGGCCTATTGAGGGATTCAATTGGCTCTGATTCGGTCTGGGAGTGCCCCAGGAGGTGCACACACTACAAATTCGGGCCTTACCTATTCTCAGGGATTTGTAGCAGGAATCCTGTCCTCCTTTGCCTAGGCTTCGGGGTGTCATTTTATTGACCTATTATTGAACTAGAGATAAATCCCTTAAATCTCTCACAATCTGGTGTTTTTAGCTTCCTCTGGGTACAAAATATTTTGGTGAGCTCTACTAGGGCCGGGTTTAGCCACACTCCCATCGCTTGGCCCTCTGGCACCTCCGGTCTGCTGGCAGAAGAGTGAGTGGATGGGGTGTTGTTGTTGAAGTTGGCCTGCTGGGTAGCAGGCCAGGACTAAGAGGAGCCTGGGTAGCAGGTCAGGACTATGGTGAGGCAGGAAGCTGAGGGAAGAACCCTTACACAAAACATGAGACGGTGCTTACACTCAGGTTGGTGCCAGTGCAGTGTCAGCCCCTGGGGTGAGTAGCTCCTTGACATTTGAACCCCAGACCTATCTCATTCACCTCACCATCCAGGCTAAGCCAAGTCACCATTCCAGTGACCTTCATTTAAGTGAGTCACCATTTCAGGGCCTGGGTCTAGGGGCAGCTCTCTGTGCTACTACATGGGGGAGAAGCTGAGGGATGAGGAGAGAGACCAGTGGAGCTCCCAGGCCACGTAGCAGACCTGGCTAAGAGTGGCAGTGCCTGGAAACACAAGTAGGTAGTGGCATAGGTTGGATCAGGGGCTGGAAGAAGATTTAAGACCCGCAGGACCCGCTGAGTACCCAGTTGGGCACCAATTCCCCTCTTTCTGGAATGGTGTTAGATGCCCTAGTCCAGCTCTGAGCCCAGTGGCCCCAGTCTCTGGGTATTAGATCTGCTCTGCAGATGGGGCAACAGATGGTACAGGATTGTCCCCTAGCTCTGCTCCCACAGTCCTGCTATATCACCTCTCAGCTGTGTGACAGGGCTAGTCTCACTGCCTCTCTGAACCCCTTTGTGCTTTCTTTGTACAAGGGGGCTAGTGATTATCACAAGGACTAAATGAGGGGGCAGGAAGTACCTAGCAGGGAGCAGGTCCTGTGCCCAGGGCCAGGAGGTTGGAGACCTAGAGACTCCCATGGGCAGCTACACTCAGGGCCAGGCTCATGACAGACATGGGTTAAGTTCAGAGTGCGGTCTAGGGACTTGGGAGCTGGGCCAACACTACTGCTTTGTCTTCTTTTATACTAAGGAGGGAAGAGGAATTAAGAGAAAACTTGAAGGTGAGCATGGAGAAGCCAGGCCCAGAGGGGTTAAAGAGCAGGTAGGTGAAGGGTATCCAGGGGAAAGGCCCTGTCTTACTTTCTCATTGCTGAGACAAAATACCTGACATCCACAAGTTAAAGGAGAAAAGGTTTATTTTAGTTTACAGTTTGTCGAGGTTTCAGTCTACAGTTGGCTGGATTCAAGGGAGAGAAGCATGGCACAGGAGAAACAGTCCATGGTAGAGCAGGCAGGAGGCATTTTTATTCCACTCCTCCTTCGTTTTTCCCTTTTTATTCCACTCAGGCTACAAGACTATTGGTTGGTGCCACCCATACCCCTGGTGTATGTGTGTGTGGGTCTTCCCTCTTCAGTAAGTCCATCACTTACACCCAGAACTATGCTAAACCAATCAGTGGACTAATCCATCAACACACATCCACAATCCAGTCATTCCCAAAAGTCCTATATGCAAGTGCATGAAGCTTTGGGGGACATCTAGATATAAGCCATAACAGTCCCCATAAAAGTAGCTTAAGGCCAGGGGTTTTTGGGCCTTCCATGCCAGTGGCTCCAGCTCAGGAGACAGCTCCTTACCTGCCCTGTTTCCAGTCATAGCATGTTGCCAGCAAGAGGGTATACAAGCCCCAGCTTTGTCTGTCCCTCCTGTTGGATCAGAGGCCCTCGTCCAACTCCAGCTGTGGATTGAGCTGTGTCTGGTTTATTGAGGAAGGCCTTGAAACCCACTGTGTAGGAGAAAATGCTTCTCTACTCTCCTCTCTGTCCACAGATTCAAACTCTGTAACATCAGCCAGAGAAACCCTGAGGCTAGGGATCTCCAGACATTCCAGGCCCACATTCCAGACCCACGTTCCTCCATGACCACCCAGCTCACACAGAAATTTCAGGCTTTGCCACACTCATGGATCAGACCAGAATCCCACAGTGTCACCTTTTCAGCTTAACCCTGAGAGAGAAGGTGCTCATGGAGCTGGGTGGAGGGATTTGAGAAGTAGGGATTCCTCACCTGTCCGGGAATGGTCTTTGATACACTCCTTTCAAGGACAGAGGTTGGGAAAAGGAAACTCCCTTTTCAGACACAGCACTCAGTGCCAGCTGGTCCTCTGATCCTACCACAGACCGTTTCCTGGATGGAGGGTCTCACTCTGGATTTACCTCTGGAATGGACCACTTATCCCTCCCTACAAACTGCTGCTCTCATCTCCCTCCCTCAGGAGTGTGTGTGTGTGTGTGTGTGTGTGTGTGTGTGTGTGTGTGTATGTGTGTGTGTGTGTGAAATACACAGGTGTCTCCGGGGAGCAGTGATAGTTGTCCTGTTTTGCTACTGCAGGAAAAGCCCTGGGATGTGGACACCATAGGGACACTATAGAGGAGTTCTGGGAATAGGAAGGAGAGCATGCTAAGGGCAAATCCAGGCCTACATGGGATGGCAGCCTGGTCTTGTCCTGCTTGGTCCACCTGCTTTCTTCTTCCTCCCTCCCCTCCCTACACACGTGATGCTCACACACTTCTTGTTCACTTCTTAGTATGTCCACTGAGTGTGCTCTGTGCAGCCATAGATGCCACTGTCCCCATCCTGAGCCCTCAGAGGCCAGGGTGATAGAGCTGCTCAGCCTGTCTTAGGGTTTCCCCAGATAGCCTCAGCCATGGTCCTCTGTGTTGAGACCTGCTGAGGGGCACAGATGCACAGGATAGGTGAGGGGTATCTGTCTCAGCCTCTGACCACCCAGGCATACCCAGCCCCATGCCTGCCTCCTTTTGCAAACAGATGTATGTAGACAGAAATATAATACCTACACACAGTACCCCCACACTCCTCTTTCCCCCTACTTGATGTCTTCTCCAGTCTAGGATGAAATGCAGGTGTGGGTTGGCTCACCGATGGGCTGTGGTACTGAGCTCATGTGTTACTGAGCTCATTCCTCTGGAAGGAGTCCATGGCAGGATCAGACACTGCTGGAGCTTCTGGGCTCTCCTCATTACCACTTTCCTCTACATTCTGGAAGTGTCCCACTCTGCGTGCTGCCAGGTGATGGCACTGCTTTGTCCACTTTGGCTTGAAGGTGACATTTTACCATATTAAACAAGATGATGGCCTCCCCGCCCCAGTACAGTATTGGGGATTGAACCCTCCCAGGACCTTCATGCACCTCCAGGCCTTTTAAATTTTTTTATTTTGAGGCAGGATCTTGCCAAATTGCTAAATTGTCCAGGCTGGGCTTGAACTTATGATCCTCCTGCCTTAGCTTCCCAGAGTACTCCATGACACTACCATGTATACACTACTGTGCCAGGCTTAGAGGTTACCCTCCTTTGATGATGTTGTACACAACAAACTACCGCTGCCTTTGGCCTGAAGCCCTGACTGCTATCAGAGGTTTTCACTCACAGAAGAGCATGTGTGTGCGCGCTTGTGCATGTGTGTGTAGGTGGGGGAGCAGGGGACCTTTTGAGGGCTTCAAGCAACAGTTAACTGCAGAAGCCTTAACAGTGGGTAGCCCATCTCACCTATCTTCCTAGCAGAGGGCATTGAGGAGAGCCCTGGTCAGTTCCCCAGGCTTGAGGCCAAACCCATCAAGCCTTTCACCCCAATATTTATCAATTCCATATTCAAAGGTAATTTGGTTTTCCACTAGTGTGGAGAAGAAAAGCTAGAAAATACAAAGTAGATAGAAGGGAAGAGGAGGTAACTGCCCACAGTGATGGCAGCCCAGTGTCTATCCCCTAGCCAGGTCCACCCATCAGGGAAAGGGTCTGAGGCAGTGAGAAAGAAGGGTATGCCCCTCTGGAGACCCCTTCATGCCAGCCTTGCTTCAGGATCCCTGTTCCTTGAGGATCGTCAGACACCAAGTCTTCTGCAGCGCTCATGTTCCTGAACTGAGGGGCTACCCAGCAGGGTGGAACACACAGCTTACCCTCCATTCTAGGCCGCTCAGAGATCCTGCCAGTCTGCTAAGGGAAGGAGATGCCTTTCCAAGAACAAGGCTGTCACTGCCAGGCCTAGTTGTGATTCATATGGGCAGCCCAAGGGGTGCCTGGTCCTCAGCTTTATCTGAGGCCCTGTCCAGCAGTTCCCTCCCCATCATAGGCCTGGGGCCTCCCACACACACCTTATTTCCAACTTAGTCTGAAGCTCAGCTCTCTGGAACCTCAGTTGAGTCCTGGCTTGTGGAAATTTCAGTACCAAAACCAGGAAGGTCATCCTAGTGTCATTCTTCTCCAAAACTTTCTGAATCTCACAGGTGAGTTCTACACACACAACCCTATGGCTTCTCAGCCCTTACCCATACCCTGTGCCCTTGTGCTCCAGGGAAGGCCATGTTACTTTGTTCCCTTTTGTGTTTGACTCAGCTTCTGGGGACTCCAAGGTGTCAAACCACCCCTACTCCTAACCCTGTCTTTGAGGCTGAATCCTCCTCCCTCCCTTGGTCTCACAAGGTCTTCTCCAGCCCAGGAAGTGGAAGGCATTGTGACCCCAATCCACAGCTGAGATCCAAGACCCTGAATTTGAACTCGGGGCCAGAAGCCTTTTCTCAGACAGATGAAGGACTGCTACCTTATATCTGGGATCCAAGTGATTACCCCCAGGCCTCCCACAGTCCCTTCCTCATCAGGTCCCCTTCTGAGGTTTCATACCCCCAGTGTCACAGGCTGCACTCTCTTCATGTAAACATCTTAATTACATCTTTAATGCTCTCACGTAGAGATACTGTGAGTTAAATTACAGCTTTTTGTGCATCCTAAATTACTCACAGTCCTCCAGTGCTAATGTATTTATAGCATCTAGAGGAGGGAATAAATTGAGAACCTTCCCCACAGGGCTTCCTAGGCTGTCATTTCCTGATGTGTGGCATTTGTCCAATGGAAGATCCGTTTGTGCCGCCCTATGTCCCTTCCAAGCAGGGGAGAACAGTGGTGGTGGTGAGTCAGGGTATAGGGACATGCCTCTGTGCACATTCATGAGTACATGCACTCCCAGCCCTTGAGGACTATCCTGCCCAATGCCCAGCCCAGATGCCACTGGCATCAGCTGCCACCTTCCAATGCTAAAGAGGAGGCCAAGTACAGAGACCTTCCCCACTCAACAAACACAATGAGATCTTCCCATACAGATGTGGGAAGATTAAAACATAGACTAGGCTTCTTAAATTCTTTTCCCCAAAGGGACCCCATTTTAGGTAGAAGGAATTTCCCCACTAGCCTACAGCCTAGGACCATCCCCAGATCCTGATATGAAGAAATGCAGTGGATGACAGAATCTGGCCTTGCTTCCCTCTTCCTTGTCACTCCTGATTGCAGAAGTCAGAGGAAGTGGCCTACCCTGATGCCCCACTGCATACCATGGCATGGAGGTAGGCTTGGAGGATGGAACCAATGCAGAGGTCTCCATGCTGCCACTCAACCCTGTGCTAGGGCGGGAATGTGTCTGCTTTGTGGGCCCAATAGTGTTTGTACACGAAGCCTCTCAGTAGGCCTCAGGGCTACATCCCTCCACGTCCTTCCCCCCCAATTCCTTTTCCCTCAGTTTCCACCCTTCTTCAGGCCCAGAAAACAGCTGTCTACTGGGGATTGGTGGCTGGGAGACCTCATGGGTACTCTGTAATTTTGATGGAACGTGGGTGTGAGCAGCTCTTCTCCTGGCATCTTGCCTACTGGGAAATTTCAGCTCCATCTTGGGCCTCTCAGGGCCTATAACAGGTGCTGTCCTACCCCGTCTCCGTGACCTGGGTTGTGGCCTCTTTCAACCCAAAGGAAGTCCCAGATTTAAGAAACCAGGTCTCTCCTTGACAAAGGGGAGCCTTCTCCCCATTTCTTCCACATTAGAGCAGCAGGCCTTGATGTGAGGGGTGCGGCCAGGAGACAAGGAAGCCAGCAGTAGTTCTGGATCTGCCTAGTAGGAAGGATGTCCTCCATGTCAGGGCTATTGGGTCAGGAGAGGTCAGTGGCCAGACGGGCAGCCTGAAGAGTCAGCAGGTGAGTCCGCAGAACAGCTGGGGCTGGTCAGCCTTTTCCTGTCTTGACAGGGCAGGTCCTGAGAACAGTCTTGACAATCAGGTAGTGGGTGGCTCTGTGGGTGCTGTGGCAGGTGTCTTTATCAGAGGTCCAGGCCTGATCTCAGGCCACTCATGCATGGATGGCATTGGCTACATCAGTAAACACCAGTCGGCTGGGCCTCTGCAGAGGGCCCTGGGAAGGAAGAGTGCTCTGCAAGGACACAGGTAGGGGTATCAGAGATCGTGACCATGGCCATGGATTCTCTGGTCCAGTCACTTCCAGTCTTACTTCCTGGAGCCTCCTTGTGTTTAGCACCAGCTCTGATGTCTGCCTGGAATGCCCTCCCTGAAAGTTCAACCTAGAAATATGACCTGCTGGGCTGGGATTTAGCTCAGTGGTTCTGCTGCCTGCCTCACAATCGTAAGGACCTGAGTTTCATCCCCCGTACCAAAAGTAAAAAAAGAAAGAAAGAAATATGACCTCCCTTGGCTGACTCCTTTCCCAGCAGACATCCCTGCTTGCCCCATCACCTGAGCTGCACTTCCTGTGGGCTCTCTTACAGGATGAATTTTGCAGTTACCTCCTTCATCCAGTAGGGGAGACCTCACCTCTTTACCCCACCCTCGTAGAGGACCAGGCACAGGGAGGTTCATGAGAAACAACTGTCAAATGAACAGCAGTTCTGCAGGCTGGGTGGACTAAGTTTCTCAGCGTGATTTTCTGGACACACAAGGGTGCAGTGTGTCCTGACACTGGTAACACAGAACTGGCCGAAAAACCAAAGTGTCTCCTGACTCCCAGCCTGAACTCATCCTGAATCCAGAAAGATGCAGAGAAGCTGGATGGGGCAGGAGTGACCCAGCCTCAACATGACACGTTGACCCTTGGTGATTTGAGGGAATGGTGACAAGTGATTAGATAGCCAGTGACTCTGGCAGGATGCCAATAGAGGGACCCATCCCTTTGGATATAGGTGAGTTTGGCTGGGGTTTCCATAGGCCTGGGGCTTGACAGTGATTAGGAATCCACCAACCTAGTTCGAGATGCCACTGCTCAAGAGTCTGACTTCATGTGCAATTGATTTGGGACCATGGGCCCTCAGGGAGCAGAGAAACCCAGGGTCCCTGCCCCCAACAATCTCTGCCATTAGTCCTTTCTGGCTTTCCCAGTCAGTATGTGGGAGTACACAGACCAGAAGTAGGATTTTCATTCGCAGATGAGAAAACTAGGCTCAGAAATGCCACTGGGACTTCAGAGATCAGCAGATAAGAGCTATTAGGGCAGAGCCAACCTGGATCTCAGGGCTGTTCTGGGCCTGGCCTTGTGTAATGAGTCTGTGAGTTGTCATGAGCAACGAAGTCTATCAGTTTCTGAACAGACCTGACCAGACTCATATACACAATAGCTGCCAACTGACCACCTTGGCAGGTGCTGGCAGGCTGGATGGAAAGGGCAGAGGGTAGGGGAGAAGAGGCACAAGGGGCTGCAGGGTAGGTGGGGAGTCTGATAATGCCCACCTTGCTTTGCATGGCCTGTAAAGAGGCCGCATCCCGCCCATGCTCCAGCAGCTCCTGCTCCAGTTCATCTTGCTCCTCCGTGGGATCAAAGTTGTACATAGGCATGAGCTGGTGGCGTAGTTTCTCCAGCCTGGGGGTAGGAGCAGAGGCTGTTGGGGGACAGGGCAGGCCCTCCAAGTCCTGCCCACCAGCTAGCCTAGCCTCAGCACATAACCATGGTTAGGGGCCCAAGACTTCCCTTGGGATTCAATGACAGGCATTTTTATACCTACAGTACCAGCCCTAGTCCTCAGATGGGTGGCTTGGGAAGGAACAGTTAGTGATTCCACCGTGGGTGGAGCCATGCGCCACGTGGCTGTTGGCTGTTAGGCCTCCAGGGAGTCAGGGCCTCCTTGCAATCCATAGCCCCTGGGACCAGGGCTGGGGGCGGGGAGTCAGTGGCAGTCAGTTCAGGGCAGCAGGGCAAGAGTGCCAGGCAGTTAGGTGAAGGTAATTCCCACCTTATCTCCTCTTCTCCCCATCCCAATTCAAAAGTTACTTCTGGTTACCTACAGTCTTCACATCTGCCTGCCCTGTGGATAAAACCCTGGTGGGGCCCCTCACCCTTTCCTGATGGGACACCCTTTTTGCCCTGAGTGGGCAGAAGAGATCCTGACTTCTGACCAAGGAGAGGAGCCCATGTCCCCTGGAGCCCAGCCCAGCACCTCCCACTGGCTGGAGTTTCAGGTGGCACCTGGGAAATTACCTCTTCTTCTTCCTGATGTAGAAAACCTGCAAGAAAAGGAGCAGCGTAAGAAGGTGAGGAGAGGAGGTCTCAGCTAACTGAGAAGGGCCCAAAGATGAATAGTATGTTGAGGCTGAAAGTGGGGAGACTGTGGGTCCGTGGGCCCCATGTCTTCACAGTCCCCATCCCAGGGACACAGACATTATTCATTCCTCTGTTTGATGTCATCAAGTGCTATCAGTGCCCAGACAGGGCCTAGGGAAGCTGAGGTGGGGGCCAGACCTGCCCTCAGGAATCTGGCCTTGCAAAAAACACAGTTAATCCTGCCTGGGGGCAAGGCCAGGACCGTCACTGTGTCTGTGACAATGTCTAGTCACTCAGCACCTACCTGTTACTCCTCAGGGCCAAAGAGGGAGGGGAAAACTTGAGTGTGTCTCCTCCCCTCAACTCTCCTCAGGCCTAGAGCTACAAAAAGGTGAAGGGAATAGCCACATTCAGAGCAGCAGCTCTAGGCAAGGCTCTGGACAGGGACCCATGGGAGGCTGATGGCCCTTAGGGCCAGCAGCCCAGGCTAACCCCTCCCCCAACTCTGACACTGGAGGAACCTAACAAAGAACATATCCTGATTGTCATTGTGCAGATATGAAGTGAAGAAATAGGCAGTCAGAAACCACCTCGCTGGATGTGGACGCCCTTATATCAAGCCCTGAGGAGGGGAAACGTCAAGACTCAGGAGTCACACTGCTCAGGGATTCTAACACCTCTGCCACCATGCTGCTCTTCTTCAAACTGGCAGTTTCTGCCTATTAGGAGTGTGACTTCTTCTGCCTAGGAAAGCCACATCCTTAGAGTCTGTCCCAAATCTTTTGTGGCTCCCATACTCTTTGGAGTTTATGCACGGTTTGGTTTAGTTCCTAGCCTGGCCCAGAATTCCTCCTGAAGGACCCCAAAAGCCTGGAAAGAAAGTAGCATTTCCCTTCCCCCTCTACTCCCCATAGGGGTTAATGTTGGGGGTGTCCCTTGTTCTCCCATGGGTAGATGCAACAAGAGCTCTGAGGCCTTCTGGGCCAGTCCCTACAGACCCCCAGAAAGCAGCTCCCACTGCAGTACACTGTGCCCTCTTTCTTTGTGGACTCTTCCCCAAATCTTCCTCCCTCCCTCATGGCATGTGATTCAGAAGAATCTACAGGAAAGGCCTGCATCCAGTCTCTACTCCTTAATTCTGCTGCTCTCTCATCCCAACTGCTAACTCCTACCCACTTCTATTCCAAAGCTTCCCACTTTCTCCAGGAAGCCTTCCCCCACTGGTCCCACCCACACTGAGCTCTTTTTCCTCCTGTGTAAGGCATGAGCCTGGTACTGGTCTGCTCCTCCTTGTGCTCAAAACCTGGCTTAGGTACCCGCTGTAGACACCTTATCCCCTTGCCCTGGAGCTGTTTACTATTCTCCACTGCCTTTTGTCCCACAGCCTTCTCACCTCTCCACCTTTGGTTGGAATGCCATCTACCCTGAACCTAAAACAAATAGCAAGGGAACTTTACCAAGTTCCCAAGACAAAATCTTTTGCTGAGAGTAACCAGGGCAGATGCAAGTCATTTTACCTGAGACTGGGACACCTCAGTCTGCTTTGCCTCCATGTGGGTATCAAGGCCTCCTGACTCACTCCTCCCCCAAGAGACCGCTCAGCTTTGTGTTACATCCTAGCCCTGCTTACTGGTCAGCATTTGTTCCTTGGCAGCAGTCCAGGGCTTGCAGGGTCCATATGGTGACTCTGTTTAACAGTATCTGCAGCCAGGCCGCAGGTGGACCATCTCAGCCTATCTGTCCCAGCAACATGCTCCTGAGCCTAAGGCCAGCAACCACAGCCTTCAAGAGGCAATGGACAAAATGCCACTATGGCCAGACCCTCTGGGAGACCACCTTCTCTGGTTTTAGCTTATACAATCTCCAGTATTCCCTTAGTGACATTGTGAGTGCCTAGGTATCACTGTAGGGGGATACATACAGCCCTCTCTCCAGCTCTGTTTTGATAGCTGCCTGAGTCTCTTCCCCTTATGGTATGGAAACCAGGTTCATTCCTCAAGTCTCACCTTTAAGGTTGACCCCTATCTGCCCCAGGCCATTCAACCTAGATAAGAACAAAGAATAACAACAACAACAACAACAACAAACAAAACCTTTTTGTTTTTAACTCACCACTTATAAAAACCACAGGGCAGGACCTTATCTCCCCAGCTCAAAGATCTAGTCCAGGGTAGATACCCAGTAAACATTTGTCAAATGCATAAATAAAGGAACACTCCAACAGCCTGCCATGTACATAGCATCCTGACTGGACTCTGCATCCCACAATCCATCCCACCCACCTTTGGGCTCCTAGTTCTATTGCAATCCCCACACTCACTTTCCTCACTATCCTGCTTGCTCCTCACAGAAACTCCTGCTTCCCTCCACAGTTTGCCTATCAAGATCTTTCATGTGGAACATCCTCTTCACCAAATCTATGTGGCTTTCATCACCCAGTTTAAAATACCACATATCCTTCAGAATCATTTCTGATTCTTTCAAGAATTGCCTCTCTGGTCTCTGGGCCCCAACAGACAGATGTCAGGGGGTTAGGGAGGGTGGATTGCGTTATTGTTAATGGACAATTGTCTTCTGATTGAATTCTCTACAAACCTAAACACTGACCACACTCCCCCCAATGCAATGCCTTCTGGGCCAGCCCCAGCCTGCCCCAGCTCTCACCATGGCCACAGCCAGGCCAATCACCGTGATGATCCCAAAGGATAGAAGCATAGTACCCACACCAGCTGCACCACTAGCTGTGTCATGGATTCTAGTGTTATTGAAGCTTGTGGCTTCTGGGCTGAGAGTCTCAGAGGTGGGTCCATCAGTGGCAGGCTCCAGGTCAGGCTCAGTGGTGGGTGGATGACTGCTGAACCAGCTTCGAGCAGATGGGATCCTGGAGTTCATGCCGATTCTCAGAGATGTCTGTGGTCAGTCAACCTGCCCACTTACTTCTGACATCAGGAGTGCCCCAGGCTGTGGCTCTTGCCACGTGTGGTGGCCTCCTTGATAAAGGGAGTCCCCCTGTGTTTCCAGGCCCTGAAAAGGAAAGAATAAAAAGATTAAGAATAAAAAGACTGAGACTAAGGACAGGGACTTGGCCTTGAGATAAACATTTTCCTAGGTTCTGAATTCACTGGGGAAATAAAGGCTTTGCGGCAAAGTCAAAGGTAAGTTCAGGGGACAGCAGGACACAGGCTTTTTATATATACAGTTTCAGTGTGGATTTGGGAACATGAAAATGAAATCCTGCCACATCTGTTTGTGGGTAAGATATTCATAGTGATCATACCCAGAAGATAGAAAAAGTAGTGGGGATATTTGAATGAAAAAGACCCTTCCTTGCATAGTAACCTCCACCTTCTCCTACCCCCACCTCCTCATTTCCATTCCCCCATATCCTTCATCCTGCTTGGGGAAAAAACTGCAGCCTTTTCTTTCCCTGGAGGGAAACACTTGCCTAGGAGTCAGTGTTTGTACTCAGTTCTGGCTCTGCCACCTAACTGGGCAAGTCATTTAACTTCTCTGTGTCTCAATTTTCCTGAGTCTAAGGTGCAGGTGTTAAGAATAATCCATAGCATTACAGGTTACTGAAATGTCAGAATGAACAGGTCCCTAGAAAAGACTTAGCTTACCCCTACTGAGCAACCAGTAAAATGTTCCATCTGCTTTCTCTGGCCAAGCCAGTTATAAAGGGAGCTCTACAATAGACCCCAGATCCAGTCTGCTATGTGGTCCAGTGTGTGCTTAGAATGGGGGTGGAGACTGGTGCTCACAGATCAGGAGACAGGAAGGAGAGGCTAGGCCAGATCCTATGGCAGAGCTTTTCTGCAGGCTTTTGAGGGTCATTTGACCCCCATTCCCTCATAGGAGAGCAGTGGGCTTCTAGGGACAAGGAACAAGGCAAGGGGAGTATGTCTTCAAGGGCAGGGATGGAGCTCTCACTTTGAATTGCCTTCTCACCTTCCCTCCTCCTCTAAGCAGAGAGCAGGAAAATTGCTCAGCCCAGAGGGCCCCTGGGAAGGTGAATAGAAGGGATCCCAGACACTCTGCAGATGGGCAGGCCTAGAGAGAGGAGGGGTTCAGAGCTCATGGCTGCACATGTGCCTCCCTGTGCAACTTGCTCATAGATATACATGGATGCCTCCTTGTGCAGGTGCACGGGTGAGATATGCACACATGTGTGAGCTATGCACACATCTGGGACAGCCCTTTAAGGAAGAGGCAAGGTTAGCAGAGGGACATGGACAGTGTAGAGCCATCCCTCTCTGCCTTCTTGTTCCTTCTAGGCTAGGTAAAGTGTCTCAGGTTCTCCTCTATTCTGCCACTGACACCAGGCATGACCTTGGGCCAGATCCTTAACATGGGCTGAGGCTGGGTTTACTCCTCCAGTCAAAGGAGAAGGAACCCTGAAGGCCAGCCACCTTCTTGGCCTGCCCCTGGAGCCAAAGGGAAGGGAAGGAAAACGGGATGGAAGGGGTCGGCACAGCGATCTTCGAAAACCCTCAAGCCATTCTCTGCCAAGTCCCTCCATCCTCCCTGCCTCAATCCCATGCCCGTCTCCTTGACCCTGGGATTCATCCACTCTCGCACAGATGCAGCGACCTCAGCACTTACTTAATCCTCTCCGGGACTCCGAGCTCATTGAGAGAGGCTAGGGGTGGTGGCCACAGGCGGGGAGGCTAGGGCGGGAGAGACATCCAGGCCCGGCGCGGGGGCGACAGATCCGCCTGAAGTCCGCCCTCCCTGGACAGTCAGAGCTAGTGGCAGAGCGCCGAGCGGTCGGCC